AACTTGTTTTTGCTTATAAAAATATGGCTTTAAGTGTTCTCTATACGATGGTGAAAACCGCAGGTCGCTAAGACCTTTCGTTAAAAAGTTATTTGAAAAACGGCAACCGGCACGACCTTTCCGTTTCTATGGTAGAAGAACATTAAAATATTCAAAGATGCCATAAATAAAGAATAGGCCTCTAGCATTCAGATAGAGATATACATATATCTCAGATATATGTCTATTGACATTTGCTTCACATTTGTCACGTTTTCTTTCTGTGTAGAAGAAAACGAGGAAAGAGAACAGTTAGTGGAAGAACAAAATGCGAGACTATAACTGTTCTCTTTCCTCGTTTTCTTCTACACAGAAAGAAAACGTGACAAATGTGAAGTAAATGTCAATAGACATATATCTGAGATATATGTATATCCCTATCTGAATGCTAGAGGCCTAATGTTGTTGATTGCATACTAGATTATTAAATTGAAATTCTTCTGTTTTGCTGTAATTGTTAGATCTTCAAGTTCGTTTCTGTGTACTTTAAGTCCGTTTGGAATAGAGGAGCAGCGCAAATAGACGTAATAAATGACTCTGTATAACTTGTGAACATTACAAGATGAGTGAACTATTTCGGTTAAAATATAAAATTAGTGCTGTTCTTAGCTTATCCCATTGTCTATTGCAGCGCGCATATAGAAAATGAAAAGTGACAAGATCAAAAGAGGAGAAGACTGGAAGCGGTAAATTTGATCTCTATAGTTGAATTATATTTTCTTCTCTTTGTTTTTTATCTTATTTTTTTTATCTTATTTTCTTCTCTTTTATTTTTATCTTACATAGTATAATACAAATATGAAGGTGTGTACACAGTTTGATACATTGAGAGCACTAAGTTCTAGTGCAAAACGGGTTACGTCGGTAGGGGTCTCGTATTGGTTTTGATGGTGCAGAAGTTACAACATATGACGTACGAAAACGATTTGTAGTCTTAATATAATATATAACGGAGTTAACAATTATTTTTATTTTGTCTTTATCTAATTTCAACACAAATTTATTATGCAGTAAAAAGTGACTGAAATTTATACTTTTGGTATCAAAAAAATGTTCAGTAACTTTACTGAGACGGGTACTTTCTCAGGTACCCATAGCAGTATGTTTACCGAGGAAGTACCTACTCGGATCCCCGTATTCATAAATTTACTGAGAAAAGCCCAGCAAAGTACCATAGCAGGCGCGCACATTGTGCATTGTATAGAGGACATATTGCAAAAAAGTGTTCTGCTGTTTCACTATTAGATCCACATGCACAACTCGCATCTGTTACTAAATTCCGCTCCAACAAGTCCTGATTCAATTGACTAAAACCTACTCTACATCGCATAAAATAGATTTCTGTCATTCTGTCAATAACAGGAGGCAATTTTAATTTAGTGAAGTAGGGTTGTTTTATTTTACATTTGAAAATGGCATAATTTTTTGATTCTTTTATTACATTTGGTAAGCCATTCCACAGTTTAGAAGACGGTGGAATAAAAGTCTGCTGTAGATATTCACTTCCTCTTCTTAATGTTGCTACTTGTTGTGTATTACGGCTTGTCAGAGTCATAATAGTAGTTTGTGTTGGAGGTGGAATAAGAGAATGTAAATCAGTTGCACCTTTTAAAATTTTATAAAATAAACATGGACGATGAATAGCAAAAAAATCATATTTAACAGGTATAGGTGGTGTGGGTTTATGCATGGCTGTAAATCCTTGGGAAGCAAGGAGAGCAAATAGAAGAAATAAGCAAGTATCTAATTCAGTTGCATAAAGAAAAAATTGAAGATCGAACACGTTATCTGCATACAGTATACATAATCGAAAAGATATTATGAGGAAATTAAGTTTGTCACTTTATAAAATATGTTCATCTAAATAGCATACAGTGGGCATCCAGGCGGACATTTGGCAAAAAATCGAAGTAACTCTTTTCTCAAATATAAATAGTGTAAAATGTAGCGGTTCAAATTCTCTATCGAATGGTGTATAAATGTCTATTTTGAAAATGGATCCTTCGAGCAGAAGGCAGTGTACATAAAACCCATAGTGAATATCGTTACCACATTCGAAATCACGATTCTGTACTCACTCAGGTATGTTACGCGACTTCAAAGCGCATATTCAGAATTGGCATGTCTTCAACTATCTACTGATAGCAAAATGTTATATTTCGAAAGTAATTGCAATAAGTAACAGTTAATGATTCTTCATCATCTCATACCGGTATGACGCTACTTCTGTGTAGTGATATCGCTAAATAGCGCTAAATCCCTATAGACCTTCTAAATACATCAAAATGTTCCTCTACAACCAGTCTATTTATGGTGAAATCGCAAAATCTTGCATATGTTCCAAAAACGTTTTATGGATTTTTCAAAACCCATAGGGGTTTTGAGGTATTTCGAATTTTTCTCCCTTATAAACATATATTTCGTCAAATATAATACCATATTCGGAGTCAGCGTGAAAAACTGCATCTAATGCTGTATAACTCATCTAGTTTCGGTAGCTCGGTTTTGAATTCTAGAGATTTCTTAGTTTTTGAGATTCACACAAACAATTTCGTGCTGAAAATTTGAATTTCAAAATAAAGTAACCTGAACGACTCGAAACACGTTTCTTATAGTTTTCGACAATGCTCTTTCCAGTGGCATCGTTTTTAAATATTGAGAAAGTTTTCTGAAGGGTTTTTCAGAGACCGGATCTCTTTAAAACTCCTTAGAAAACTTTTTCAAAATCCAACTCTCATACCATTAAAAAGAGGATTATGAAAAAAAAAAAGGTGACAGTTATTTATACCTGTTCGACCTATATCCTATCATCGTTTTATCCACTAAATGTTCGGCGATGGCTATCAAGATCAAGTGAAGACTAGTTTTTTCGGCTATGTTTCAAAAAGTGAATAAACAACACCAAATAAAATAAACAATGTTTTCAGTAAACAATGAGGAATAAAGAAAACATAAATTTTAACTTTTGTCTTTAAAAAATAATGAGTATTTGATTGTTGTTGGCGTTAATAAACAACGATTTTTCCTTGTAATATATGTTGCAACAGAGAATGTAGATTCATTTGGAACACTTGCCCTGGGAATCTGAAGAAAAAGGAAAGAACGAACTTTTAAAAAGCATAAGAAGAGGAAGATCAGCAAACATTTTTTTCTCTTATCAAAAGATGTGTACGTACATATTTTTCATTCAATATAGTACAACTGAGAATCTTAGTCGCCAATGCATTTGTTACGTCTTGTGTTCCAACATAAAAGATACAAGACAGCAATTTTTTTATTTTTACGTCGTAGACCTTATTCGCCGATCAGTTTTAACGCAAAAGAGTATAGCTACTTTAGTTATTAAAATGAATGAGTATATAAAACATTGGTCAACATTTTGCAGTACATGTAGAAGTAGCCGTAAGAACTTATACGCTTCTGACTTCTTTAAACACATGCTCGACAGTTACCGCTACTTGTAACTGATAGTTATCGTTACTCATAACGGTAACTGCTTACCCGTTGCTGTTATCAGGAACGGTAACCGACCAGCGGCTACAGTTACTGTAACGGTAATGGTTACTGTCACAGTCCTAAACGGGCGGTTAACCTAGATGTTTATCTCCCGCTCCTACTCGATTATGATAGCCTAGTACTCGGTTTCCTACTAGGTTGGAGCTCGTTAACTAGGTAAAACGATACATTTAGCTTTTTCTATAAAGTGACTAATCGGTGAATGCCCTGTATGCCTACCTATTATCAGTGCTTGGTTGCAGGTAATTTTTATCAATGGAATTCAGTAGGAACAACAGTAGCCGGTAACGGCTACACGGCAACAAGCCATTGATTGAACGCCTAAATTGGTGCATCAGCCATTCAATTGAACTTTCCCTATGGTTTATTTATTGATAAGAACACAAATGATCTATACATTGCTGAATTTCATAATAATCGTGTTCAACATTGGTTACCTAATGGATTAAATGGTACAACAGCCGCGGACGGGGTAGTGGCGGGATCAGGTTTATCTTAATTAACCTATCCTCCCGCAGTTTACGCTAATGCAAATCTAAATTTATACATTGCGGAAACAGGCAACTCCCGAATACAATTTTGGTCACATGGCGCGTCAGTTGGCTTAACAATTGCAAATGGTTCGCAACTCTCAATGCCTTTTGGTATCTGGGTGGATGCAAACGGAATTATGTATATCACTGATTATCCTAATAATTATATTCTGAAATGGTCTCCGTTTGCACCCAATGGATCAATTATAGCAGGTGGTAATGGGTCAGGAAATTCAGCAAATCAGTTGACTGGTCCAGTGGGTATATATTTAGATGAGACAAATAACATTTTATATGTCTTCAATTACGACAACCATTCGGTTATGAAATGGACAATTGGAGCTACAGTCGGAATTGTTATTGCGGGCAGTCCCGGTAAATCCGGATCAAATGCAACACTTTTACAGAATCCAACAGATATTACATTGGATCAATAGGGCAATGTATATGTTTCTGATTCTGGAAATAATCGTATACTAAGATTTTGTCCTAATTCGACATATGGATACACAATTGCTACAAACGGCAGTACGTCACAACTATCGTCTCCACGTGGTAATGTTTTTGATACAAATATGAATTTGTATGTTAGTGACGCGTATAATAATCGAGTAGAAAAATTTGCAAAATTATAAAGAAAATGCTTCATTTCTCACATGGGATCTTCGTCATGAAAAATGTGCCATTAACGGGTCAGTCAAAATGAGGCATAAAGAAAAGAATTTAGATAATTTTATAAGCGCCAGACGTTTTATGTTATAACTTTTGTTCTTTACAAACTTGTTTTGTATGCTTGTGCCACAGATATCCTATTCAATTACATTCCACATTGACATTAGACTGTGCCTTTGCGTATTTCAAGTGTTATTTATATTGCTAAATCTCTCATGAGGTTTAAGATCTCAGCTAAGATTCTTCAATTGTTTTACACTATTTTGCAGCATAGTAAAGTTGTCCAAATCAGCAGACAATCTATGAGAATTTATATTTGTCTTCTTGAATAAAAACTGGTCGGCTTAACCGGATAAAAATTGGCCACTGGACATTGTTATGAGTTAGAGACAACAGATGAATAAAAATAGATTTCGTACAGCAGCAGTCATTTAGTCAATTATTTTAGTTTATCTTAACGTTTCGACTCTTGATTAAGTCATTTTTAAACATAAAATATAGATTATATACAATGAAAATTAGGTAAACAGAATAATAAAAATACTCCTAGTGAAACTTCTTGTACCCAAGATCTTGAAAAAGACACCAGGAAGTCAAGATTGAATCTTGAATCTTTTACTCAAGATCTTGGCCAAAATCCTGTGTTAAGAAATTTCAAGATCTTCAGCGGCCAAGATGTTTCAAGATCTTGGCCAAGATCTTAGGGACAGAAATTTTAAGATCTTGAGTGAATTCACTCAGATGTTGCCAGAGCTTGAGTGACAAATTTTCTTTACATTTTGTTTTTATTTATGACAGTCGTAGCCACTGGATATACGACAGCATAGGGTCATACATTCTTCCTTAAACAACTACAGTCAAGAGGGAGAAAATCCGAAATTATTCTAAGTATGAAAATATTCGTACTTATATTTACACAAGAGTGTAAAACAAAACAATGATTCAAGAATTTTCAAGATCTTGGTACAAGAAGTCAAGAAATTACAAGATGTTCAAGATCTTAACTTTCTGAAATTTCTTGAATTCTTATATTTTCTTACCAAGATTTTGAATCAAGATCTTACTGGAAAAACTCAAACAGTCAAGATCTTGGTTACAAGAAGTTTCACTAAGGATTGTATATGTGCGATTTGCGCTAGTATTGTACCGTCGATATCCGAGAAATAAAATTGCATTAACTTTTCTTGTACTGAACAGACTTTCTTTATTTTTTTTTGTTTTGGTTTTCTAACCTTTGCCCACCACCGTTAAAAGGGACAACTCTTTAGCTGCTTTCGTCGCCGAAATATAAGGGTTGCATTGTTGCAGATGGAGGATTTTAGCGCCGTCTGTCGTTGAAACATGAATTTTTTTTCTAAACACTCAATAAGTTCTAAATCTGTTTCTTATGAATAACTTGAAGTAGAAGACTAAGTTTCTCAAAATATGTAAATGGATTAACGGATTTATCGCAGCTTTTCTATGGAAATAAATCAAAATAATGTTGTTACAAACACAAGATCTTTTTCTGTCCCGTGAGATTGAATCTCGCGTATCTCAGCTAAAATTAAACGTAATCTTTGTCGAAAAAAGCCAAAAGGTAGTCCACAGTTTGAGAATCATTCTGATAAAAAGAAGTAAAAGACAAAAGCTCGTTTCACTGTAAAAAGTGACAATTGCTTTTCAAAAACGAGCTTCGCATACTAAATGTCCCGTGAGATTTTCGATTTTGTTTTTCTGAAGTTTCCGTTAATACTGTAGTTTTCTCGGCGATTTTCTCACCATTCTTTTCTCCAATGATGTAGAGTATATGCCCAAATTTGAGGATTGAAATATTTTGTCGTTCCTGAGGAAAACCACTTTTACTAGGAAAACGTCCAGTGAGATTAAAATGACGATATCTTTATCAATAAAAAAGACAATTTCAACATATCATACACCATTCGATACGCCGAAAGTTGAAATATTTTCTGAGATGCATGCGAAGATTTTTCCCTAGGCTTAACAGTCTCACGAACTCGGGATCTCTTGTTACCTGTGCGATTTGAGCTAGTATTGTACGGTGCGAGGGATAATTTCGAAAAAAATAAACTTGAATGAGCTCTTTTTTCGTCAGTAGGTTATATAATTTAAAAACTTCGGTAAAAATGAATAAGTTATAGTTAAAAATATTAAGGTATACATTTCCGGAAGTTTATTCGACACGAGAAAAGCTTGTATGGCTTCACAAGAAAAGATGTAGAAGTACTTAACTTGCCAAAAATAAAAAATACAGGCAAGTTCCTCCACACACAAGTTCACCCTGCACAGACATTGATGAGAAAAGATTGCAGAATGCCGCAAGATAGACATGGCGGACAAAATTCACAAGCTACAAGTGTTTATCATCATGAAAAAATCCTGCAGACCTTGCAGGGTTTGCGTATTGAGATATCTTGTGTATTACAAGTGATAACAGGAAGGAAAAAATTTCGCAGGCTATGCAAAGTGAAGCATCTGCGAGATATATCGCATGAACGCATGTAAAAGTTCCTGCACGGTGTGCCCAGAGAAGAATCCTCCAGGATCCTGCAGAAAAGAAACTTGAAAAGTGAGCGTGTTAAAGAATCGTGCTCAATTATACTCACCAACTTGCAGGAAAATTTTCGGCGAGGTAACGTGATGTAAAAACTTGCAGTATATATCCAACATTCACAGGATTTTTTCAGATTCCTGCGTGTCAACGCAGGAATTCGTA